GGCCCAGTTGAATAAAAAGCCCGAACCGAATTTGTTTGGATGGGTAAAAATACCCATATGAGTTGGATAAAAAGACTTGAGCTGAGTCACCAACATCTGTCCACCTAGTTGATTAAAAAACAAGAAAAGTCAAATACAAATTATCTGTCAATAATATAGCAAAAAGTTTTTGAAACAACCAAAACAAGTTTCTTGTTTTTTGTTTCCATTCCCACTCTGTCACAAAGATTATCTTTGAATTTATGTGTGTTGGAGACATGTAATCCTATTTTTCTTTATTAAAAATGAAGAAACAAAGACAGAAAACATGAACGTTACGAAACAAGCTCTAATTAACCGGCAAAGTTTGAATGTAGAGAGATGATCTATGGGTTGTACGAATACCTATCCTGGAATACCTATCCTGGAATAAGAACTTGAACATCTCCCACGTCATGGCTTCTGCTTCTGCTTCTGCACATTTTTGCTCTCCCATCCACCATAAAAGTTCATCATCTCGCAGCTTGAGGAGTGCAAAATCAAGCTTTTGGTTGTCATCACAGCATCCTATGATATCAAACATTTTTTCCATTGTGAAAATCCAGTGTTTGCCATTCATGGGGTGCCTGTAAAAAGGACATTCATCTGAAACAAACTCCAGTTTGTTTCTATTATCTTCTTCCCTCTACTCGGCTATCGCACCATTCATTTCCCCCTTAAATCTGCAGAACTCGTCGTAAAACTTTTCGATGTTTGCTTCTTCCGGATCATCACTCATTTTCGCAACAATTTCCATCCTTTTTGCTCACCTGCGCAATGCATAATATGCCTTTCTCCCAACATCTCTCCTACATAAATAGTAAATAGTAAATATAGTAAATGCATCCCTAATTAACCTCTCCATCGCCCTCGTTAGGTTGTTTTTAAAGGGATCGGATGAGTGGATGGACAGTAAGCAGCTTTCAGGACTAGCCTAGGTCAAGATGGATCGGGGTTCAAGTGCATCAAGCTCAAACTCTCTCTCTCGATGGGACATTGATCAATCTGCCTCTAGGGAAAGAAGTTGCATTGATCGAGGATGTTCGTAGTGACTGATGAGGGGGTTGACGATCGAGAAGTGAGTTATTTATTATCAGCCAAACATTCTTAATTCTTACAGCTGGCTAGATCCAATCTCTTGTCCCGCAGAAGGAAGGAAAAATCAAGAGAGAAAATGGCTCAAGAAGCTCCGCCAGCAATGGTCACTTTAGAGACTTTTTACGACGAGTTTTGCGAATTTGAGAACAGAATGAGGATTTATATGCATGCTACTACAGTGAGCATGAACGTAGAGACAAGTTTCGGCGATTTAATGCTCGTAGTCCTAAATTTGGAGGCGAGGATGGCCCCCTAAAGGCCAGACTCTGGGTTCTTAAGTTGGAGAGATTGTTTAAGTTTTTAGATTGCTCCGACGAAGAAAATGTTTCGTTTGCCACTATCATGCTCGAAAACGATGCTATCGATTGGGCGATTTGGCTGGAAAAAAATGTAGCTCCTCCAATCACATGGAAGGACTTCAAGAAGGAATTCCTTGAAAGGTACCATCCATCTTGGATGCAGAAAGAAAACTTTACTATGCTCTGCAAGCTGGTACAAGGAGATAAAACTGTGGTTGAATATGATAAAGAATTTGATAGATTGTTTCATCTTGCCGGTGAGTGCATTCAAAATGATGCAATGAAATCTTCCATGTTTTTCAATGGTTTGAGGTCTGAATTCAAGCTAAAAATTGACAGCATGCAGTACGCCGATATTAGAGATGTGGCAATAAAATTGGAGCGAGACTTTGTTTAGAACTTACAGCATTCTTGTTGGAAATATGTGTCTTTATCCCCTGACTTTATCCGCTGACTTATGTTCAGGTTGCTAGGAAAAGGTTTAGTACTATAGGTTGGTTTATCATAATTCTAGTTTGATTTAATTATGGTCTAAAATCAAGTTTTTAAATATCAATGTCGATGAAAATGTTGAAGTCTCAATTTTATGGAAATATTGATAAAATGCCGATGTCGATACGTAAAAGTTATAGAAATTAAAAAATTGTAAAAAATATTTAAATTAACAAATAAACATTTTCATATTTCTAAATTGGTTAAAGAATAATTAATATTAATATTATGTATATATTACTGATATTTTGTTGATATTTTTCATATTTTGTCGATTTTTTTTATATTATGATGGAAATGTCGATTTGTCCCTTATGTCGATGTCGAATCCATGAAATCACGTACATGTCGATGAAAATATCAACATGTCGATGAATATTTAAAACCATGTCTAAAACTATATATGATTGAAATAATATTAGTTAACTTGTTTTATCCCCGACGAATTATATATATAGTTGCCTCCGTTACTTGAGAAATCCATATGTGAAGTTTTATGGGTTTTAATTTTCCTTTTAACTTGTTATTTTTCTAAATATATTTGTTTGATCTCATTTTTTTCATGTGTAATCAATATTTTGGATTCAAAACTTTTCAACCTGCTAAATACTAATAATATTTATTTATGTTTTAATTAAGCTTTTCTGTTTGAGTGTTTATAGGTCAAATCTTTTTTAATTGTTTTCTAATTTTATAACGGTTTGTAAAGTTATTGTCTGTTATTGTTTTTTTTTTCTTTTAATTAAATATGAAAATCTAATTACCATGTTTGCACGTAGATACCTATTTTGTCCAAGTAATTTTTAAATTTTGTTCCATAATTGTTATTTGATATAAAACAAAAAAAAATAAAAATAACAAAATTAAACAAAAATAATAAATTTAGAAATGAGAATTGAAAGGATGAAAATTAAACTAAAAATATAGATTCAAAGTTAATGAATAAGGCTTGAACTAGTACCATCTATAGAAGCATTTGAGACTTAATATGTACTGGCCAACATAAGTTTTAACTCAATATATACATCGAAATGGAAGATTTCGTATCGAAATGGAAGATTTCGTATCATTTATACTGCACGGTAAGAAGTTTCATAAACAGATCTTTTTATATTTTGATAGCATGTCCTTTTAAAGTGGAATTCATCCTTTGTTTTTTCCTTTCCATTCACTCGAATCTCTTTTCTTTCATCGATTTTGTCCGGATCTTCATTTTCTTCCGAAAAAAGGGAAGGAGAAATATCTTCTTCCGTGAATCTCTAGTGGTAATTGATATTTACCAAGAGATTTGGAATCTTGCACTCCACTTGTGTACTTAAACAAAAAAAATCTTAATATCTCGAGATTTTGATGACCAAAAACTTTACAAAAGAAAAAACGCACGTGAGGGAGAGGCACAGAACAATACAAAAGTAAGGCATAGTAAGGCAGAAGATGGGGCACACAGAATTCATCATCATCACATTCAACAAACATCCGCATTAATGTAATGGTAAAAGGACCCAACGAAGAAAATGTCAAAAACAAAAGGTCCCAAAAACTCCACATTAAAGAGAATAGTAAAGCCCCAAAAGGAATAAGAGTATCACCAGCAAAGTTACAGTTACATACTCTAAAGTGGTCAATTTTGTGTATTATCTTGTGGCTCTGGCCATTTGAGAAATTTATGGCCTTGAAGAGATGGAGGAAGATAGCTCTGAGTTGCAGTGGGATCGTCTGGAGTGTAAATATAGCCCTTCCCATATCCAACTTCCTTCATCAGCTTTGTTGGAGCATTCCTCAGATGAAGAGGAACGCCCTCGTTCTGCCCAACTGATTCTCTCACTGCCTTCTCTGCAACTCCCATGGCCCGGTACACCGCCACCGACTTCGGAGCGAGTGCTAAGTATGCGACGCATTGCGCCAGAACGACGTTGCACTCGGGCATGCCTATGAAATGGCAGGCTTGATAGCAAGAAACAGCCTGGTTGAGAGCTGAGGGATCGGCTAACCCGACGTCCTCACTCGCAAATCTTACGAGTCTCCTAGCTATATACAGAGGCTGTTCTCCACCTTCCAACATTCTTGCCAACCAGTAAATTGAGGCATCTGCGTCACTTCCTCTCATGGACTTGTGAAGTGCACTAATGAGATTGTAGTGCTCTTCCCCTGCCTTGTCGTAGGCAAGATGCTTACATTGAAGAGCCTCCTTCACATCATCCAGAGTAACAACGGCCCCGGACGACGACGACGAAGATGCGTCTCCCCGATTCGTCACAGTAGTAGTATCGCCATTGGCATCTTCTTGATTGCAATCATCGATGTGGGCGGGGCTGGACCGGGCAGCTGCAGTGATAGCAGAGATCTCCAATGCATTCAAAGCAGTCCTGGCATCACCATCACAATTAGCAGCTAAGAATTCAATAGCTTCCTCCCCAACCTGAACAGCCATGGTCACAGTCCGAGCCAATCCCTTCTCAGAATCATCCACAGCTCGTTTCAGAATCATGGAAACATGGTGGGGCTTCAAGGGGTTAAGAGTAAGAACCCTGCACCTAGACAACAATGGAGTGATCAAATGGAAGGAAGGGTTCTCGGTAGTGGCCCCCAAGAAGATGATGCTTCCATCTTCAATGACAGGCAAAAAGGAGTCCTGTTGGGATTTATTGAACCTGTGAACCTCATCCAAAAACAAAACAGTCCTCTTATTGTTCTTGATTCTAATTTTTCTAGCTTCCTCAACACAATCCCTAACGTCCTTGACGCCGGAAGTCACAGCAGACAAGGAAACGAAACGAAAAGACTGAGAGGAAGAAGCGGAACCTACAATAGCTTTCGCAATCGAGGTCTTACCTGTACCAGGCGGCCCCCAAAGGATAATCGACGGCAATCGATTACATTCCAGAGCAGAACGAAGGATGGAATTCTTCGCGAGAAGGTGATCTTGCCCTAGAACACCGTCCACGGTGCGAGGCC